CAGACCGGCCACAGCTCACCAAACGAGACGCAAGGGTAGCTTGCCGATGCTCGGTGCGCCTCCTTTTGTCTTGCTTGTGGATCACAAGCGAAGGCACGGCTAGCTAGTATTGTCGTCAGCTTTTTGCAAACTCTGCAGCTTCAGCACGCCTGGCCGGCCAGTCATCTTGTCGACGTGCCTTCATGATTGTAAGCACTGTCCGTATCACCAGAAAATGCTCGGCAACAAACAGCGCAATGACCGGGACGAGCTGTTTGTGTTTAAGATGAAAACTGGCTTGCAGGGGATTAATGTGATCCCATGGTAATACATTGTTAAGACAATGGTGTCATCCGCGCAAAATACCGTTCAACCAATTACGCAATAACCAACGTGCGGCCACGGCAGGTAAAGACGTGACACCCATTACATGGTGTAGGCGCACGTACTGTTCACAACTTATGACGCAACCTAAACTTTGTGTGACTGACAGATACGCCAGTAGCGGACCGGAAGGCAGTCACTAACCCGCGTTGCATGATATTTTATGTGCCACGAAGTGAGCCGCGGCGAGCCTAGAAAATGCTCTAGAAATTACAGCATTTTTTTCTCGCAGCAGGTTATTTGCAATCATTTGAACGCATTTTGGGTTTACTGTTCATTCGCCGAAGGCAGAATTTAGGTTTAATTGCGTATACCAGCAGCATCATATGCACATGCCCATGGTTTGGTATGGTGATGTTCGACTTTCCCAGCCCAACAGCAGGCAACCGACCAGACTTCCACGCCCTTGTTCAACCCCAGGTCGCCGCCAGTCGCTCATTGATTGAGATTCCGTACAAGATGAATTTTCGATAGCGTTCGCGCGTTGTCCCGGTGAACGGAAATTCAAAATGGAGGCGAATAAAAACTCACATCACTGGGCCGGTTTCAGGTTTGGGAAATGGTTGCAAAAATAAAGAAGAAAGCAGACTGTCAAACAAGTCATGCTTTAATTTTTTATAGATGTATATCTTCCCTTTGAAATTGTGCATCGAGGTGTGGCGCATCATAAAGTTCTTACAACTGTACCGACTTCCGAGAGTGGCCACGGATGAACAGGCACTTACTGGCTTGCTGAAATGGTTTGGTTAGTAGTTGGGCACTGGCCACTAACACATGGCCCTTCTTTTGTCTCATTGCAGACTCCCATCGCGTAAGTCATCATACCTTCTTGCATTGCCAAAGGGCCCGAATAACACAGTAAACTAACCCTCTGGTAGGGGTCCCGTTCACGTTTCTGTTTAGCCAATGTTCACCTGCGACTCGGGGCCACTTGGCCCTCCTTTTAAACCAGCACTCGACTACATTGTAAAGCCTAAGCTTGCGGAGAAGGTGGTCATGCGGAACAACATTGAAACATTTGAATAATGCCAGCAGACAGAGCAGTGTGGCTGCTCTGGTCCATAGCAGTCAAACTGGGGCAGCAAAAGAGAGCAACGCAGTGCCAGCTGAGTGATTTGATATAAAGCCATGCTGATCAGACGAGAGCAGGTGGTGCGTTATAAAGTAATAAAAGACCACACAACACAATCGCGCGACTCCCGCCTGTATCCCAGTGGTAAACATGCCTCGTTTCTACGTACATGCGTGACCACGTATGCGCGCGCGCACACACACACAGTGCGTTCGTGGCCGATATACTATCCTTTAGGGGCTGTCATATTTCCCACGCCGATGGTACCAGCTGCAGTTACCATCGTATTCACTGTGCTTGTCTTACAGTTCAACCAGAAGTAAACGAAGAAGCAGAGCATTGGCACTGTCATAAGAGCCAGGGAAGCAGCATAATACCAGTGATATATTGTCATGATATGAATTATATTCCACTCACAGACGTGAGATTCGTACAGAGTTCACACTTGCCGGCACCTGTCCTTATTTAGCGACAAGCGACACGAGCGACACGAGTTTTATGTCCACAATCCATATTTGCAACTAGCACTGCCTAAAAGGGAACGCTCGACATTTGAAGATATAGATGGAAGCATCAGATATGATTTAAGATTGCTCTAGACAACGCAGTTTTTCTGTTCAGTAAATAGGCTCCTCAGTACGTTATTGTTTGCTTACGTCATCGTACCCTACACAGCATTGATTGAAAGCCAGTGGGCGGCCGTTATGTCCGGGAATCGTGCTCACGAACATCACATATAACGGCTCGACAATTATATCTTTTGGCCTTAATCATCGCATGACTATGGGAATCGCATGATATAACGACGTTATTATTATGTGATGGATGGATGGATGACCTCGAAACAGTCTGCATATCTTTGCGGGCGTATGGCTCAGAAACTAGAAGGGTTTAGTTACTAAAAAGTGGACCGCACGTGGTGGTCTTCAAGATGGTTAATCCAGTTCAAGCCCCTAAATATGTTTAACACTTCATTTAAAGGGAGTCTCGCTTGACTCCCTTGAAGTCACCCGTCAAATGGCTCTCAATCATTGGTGAGCAGGCTGTGTAAGATTCAATCACGTTTGGTGTTTTGTTTGTCTATTGTTTTTGGATTAGAGCCCTTTCGACCAAAAATTATCATTTTAGGGCTATGGGATGAAGGAAAATGGTTAACAGTGGGGCAGACTTGCATGCGCCTGGGAGGGCCAACCGCCAAACTTTAACCGACGCATACGCACCGGGTACCCGGTCGGAGTTCCCCTTCCCAAGGGGCTCTCGGCTCACCGTGGCTGACGCATGCAGTCAAGCCTACAAGAAAACATCTTGGCTCACAGACAAACATGCAAGGACATCAGGAGACAGGGCCAAAACACGAGTATGTGACGATATTTGGCTCAGCAAACACTTCCAGAACAGCCACTGCCATTTCTCACTGATCTCAGCAGTGCACGTGGGTACCACCCGTCCGGGCGCGGTTGGAAGACTCCGCGGAACTGGGGCGCGCTTAACTGGTCTTGTACCGTTCTGGGCACCCGCCTGTGGCGTTAGCACACTGTCCAGTATATGTTGGCTTGTACTGCCACCTACAGCCTAAATTCAGCGCAACAGGCAAGACGGGGGAGTTGGAGTTATCATGTCATGATATTATGAAGCTAAGCGAGAGTGGAGGTAGACCCAGAACTACGGAATCAACTCATTGCAAACAGCTTGATCGGACGAAACAACTCTAAAAGCATGATCCTGAACGAAGAATTCAGCGCAGCCGTAAAAACCTGTAGAGGTGAGGAAAGAGAAAGAAAAAGCACGGTAAGGAGAGCCGACAAAGCATCTTTTTGCGTAATTGTTGACAAGTTGGTTAACCTTAAAATTCAACGACATTATTTAGTCCAGTTTTAGACAAAGACTTTACTGTGGCCAGCGATGATTCGTGACAACAGTGCACAAAATGCCAACAGATGTTGGGTGATGCCTCAGTGTCACAAGCGAGGGCCCCGACCAGTACAAGATCTGTGTAGCGCGCTCCTACCTCCAAAAAGCTTTCAAACTCTGTTCTGACTGGGCGCACTACCACACAGTGAACTGTAGTGCATCGAACCACTCCTTGGGCATCGAACACAGGAAACCATTGTTTCGTTTCGATAAAAGAATGTAGCCAAAATATAAATTCAGTTATCTCTCAGTTTTTCTGATTACGCTGAGAAATAGGCTATTAGTACCGTCTTGTCTATATGCATGATGTTCATCGCAAATACAATAAGCAACTTTCGTAATTTTGTTCTTTATACTGATGCTTGAATGCGCAATCTGTTAACTGATGACCTTTCTTATGTCTCGAAAAGCATGTATTGTATATATATATGCATATATATATATATATATATATATATATATATATATATATATATATATATATATATATATATATATATACACGCGCGCCCGTGTGTGTGTGTGTGTGTGTGTGTGTGTGTGTGTGTGTGTGTGTGTGTGTGTGTGTGTGTGTGTGTGTGTGTGTGTGTGTGTGTGTGTGTGTGTGTGTGTGTGTGTGTGTGTGTGTGTGTGTGTGTGTGTGTGTGTGTGTGTGTGTGTGTGTGTGTGTGTGTGTGTGTGTGTGTGTGTGTGTGTGTGTGTGTGTGTGTGTGTGTGTGTGTGTGTGTGTGTGTGTGCGTATGCGCGTGTGTGTGAAGTTACTTTGTGAAGTGTCGTGTGCAAATTATTCAGATAAACAGATGTGGAAGCACCATCACCGTCAATTCTGGTGGTCAGCTTGTCATTTTGCGGATAGAAAACATGCTTTTCAGGAAATTTGTGTGCTTTCTTCGCGTTGCATGCCTTTTTCACTCCCTTGCATCAATTTTTTTTCCTTTTCCATGTTTATGTTGGATACAATTCTCAAACTAAAGCGAGTCAGGTCAGCAAAATGGGGACCCCTATTGTTTATTAAGCATTGTGTTACCAACACAGTGCATGCAAATTTATGGCAGGAGTACGCAGGAGGGAATTCGCCAGTTTCATTCCTAGCGATGGCTTTGGCTATTGAAGATAAAAGGAGTGCAACTTTTTTCTGTGTCTGATTTAAACATTCAATATGCGACGGTAGGACGTAAAAAACTCGTGTGCTCCCATTTTACAGCATTGCCCGTTTGAAAGAACGTTTGTGTACGCACTCAATGTTTACGATATACTTGACTATATGAATGAATTTAAGTATTAAGTTTAATCCAAAATACAAAGAAAGTTAATGTACCCTTCATGCACGGAAGACCGACTCCCTAAAGTAATGGGCAGGACCTAGCTCTGCCCTATCTTATGAAATTTTGACACGGCACGAGCATGTAGGTTCTATGAACTTAAAACGTTTGTGGTGCTTTTGCTAGCTGTTCGGAGCAGCAAGCAAAAAAAAACTTGGGGGAGGGGTAGAACCTGTCCACACCACTACCCGCAGAGAACAGGGTTTATCATAAGCATGTGTAGGCGTGGTACAAATATATTGCCATTACCTCTGATAGTGGTCAAAAGTGCGTTTTTGCGGTCTGGCACCTCTCGGTGGCGGCGTGTTCGTCCACGTGGCTCGCGCACTCACCAGCACAGGCATGTTGGAGCGTGAGCGCTCTGGGCGGCTGAGAGGTATTGGTGTCTCTTGGAGAGCCGAGCCGTCCCGCACCACCTACGACACCCGCAGCAGGTGACACCGCACTGAACCGCTGCCCAATGCCGAGCAACTCTTTTAACGAACCACTCCCACCTGCGTCCGCCGGCGGCCCCCGGGTGTGACGTCACAGACACGGCCCGCCAATCGGTGCGCTCCGGCCGCGAGGCAGTGGCGTCACTCGGCCTGCTCCCCCACGCAGCACCCCGCCTGGAGACCTTGGGGCTGGGAGGCCCAGTGGGGTCCCACCCGCTACGGGCTGGCGTTATTTTTGGAGAGCGCATGAACAATTGCGGCCTTAAGTACTTTGCAATAAATTTTAGACGATTTGATGCCTTATGCTGTACGAAGAAATCTGCCATCTACTTCTTCTCACAAGCATGGTCTTGCTTAATGTCAGCCGACCACAATTTTATTAAATTATACGTATTTAAGAACGTGTTTTGAAATCTCTGCGAAATGCGGTAAGCTGAAATTCGCTGATAAAACGTGTGTGGTTAGAAAATAAACGCTAAAAAGCTGTTTTCAAAATTGGAAAGATTGTTCCGTAATACTTCGCGAAAACGGCTGATGTGCTGATACTTTCAGATTATTGAAACAAGACGCGAATTTGGCCCTTGCGATGTGGTGGTACCCGTGAATTATTGGCCAATAATTGTGTTATGGTTAGTAATATAATGAGCCTTATTTAATCACCTCCCTATGAAATATTGCATAAGCAACAGGCGATACGCTGTGTGAAGACGATATCCTTTGAGGTGCAGGCCTTTATGAATGATATTTCCAGTCGGTGACATCCATGCACCCGCAGGGTCGTGCTGGTGCCCACTCGCTACCCGCGGAATGCAAGGGCTTAAAAGCTTGAATACGCGCGTCTTATTTCTCCTGCTGTCGCATGACATCGTACATTATCAGACCGAGATAAACAGTCAAGAACAGAACCCACTCGCCTGGCACACCGGTCCTGTAGTTCCCAAAACAAAGCAAGACACAAAAGTAGATGAATCTGTTCAAGGATATGTCGACCATAAGTAAAAATGTCAGTAATATTTCAGAATCATGCATGCCTGCAGGTTGCATTGCACAACCAAACATTGCGATGCATGGGTACATGCAGGGACTAGCGGTAACTAGAGCACTTCCCTAATTGAATTTTCAGGATCTGGTGTATTCCTGTCCGGCAAGTCTAGATCACATCCGCCCACCAATCGGCTCTTTCCAGCTTTCTAAATCCAATCCAGTCTGGTCCGACTTGCCAGAGAAAAAGATTATCAAATGAATACATGCAAATCCGCCTCCATATTAAGGGCAGCCTAATTTTTCACAGCAAATTTGACTAGTCTGACTATTCTAAAGTTCAGCTAGTTACTAATTTCCATTACGAAGAAGTGCATTAACTTGTAAGCCAGTGGGTTCTAAGATGCTTCACACAGCATATCGCCTGTTGCTTATGCAATATTTCATAGGGAGGTGATTAAATAAGGCTCATTGTATTACTAATCATAACACAATTATTGGCCAATAATTCACGGGTACCACCACATCGCAAGAGCCAAATTCGCGTCTTGTTTCAAGAATCTGAAAGCATCAGCGCATCAGCCGTTTTTGCGAAGTATTACGGAACAATCTTTCCAATTTTGAAAACAGCTTTTTAGCGTTTATTTTCTAACCACACACGTTTTGACAGCGAATTTCAGCTTACCGTATTTCGCAGAGATCTCAAATCACGTTCTTAAATACGTATAATTTATTAAAATTGTGGTCGGCTGACATTAAGCAAGACCATGCTTGTGAGAAGAAGTAGATGGCAGATTTCTTCGTACAGCAACTTTTCAAAACCTACTAAAAACATTCGGTGGCATCGTTGGCGCAGCACGCAAGATTTTTCATTTGGTGCGGCCAACAAAACGAACTGTCATGTCCTTGAAGAGTTTCTAAGTATGCATTACTTACAGAGCATACTTGCAGCACTTACAGAGCTTGCTTGCGGTGCTTGCAGAGTTTACAGAGCTTATATATTTTAACAAAATCTAAGATGCATGATCCTTGAGTGAAATGGTCGTCAAAAACTGCCTTACTCTGCACAACACCGATGTAAACAACAATTGGGCAACCGGCATCCCAAATCCTCGAGCGATGCATTTGCTGGCTGCCAGGCCTAGTGTTTTCTTAAAATTTGCTAAATTGCTAAGGCTGAACAAATGTTTTTGATCAGTCTTGTGTAGCATTGCAAGCTTATTCTTAGTTGCAAACGTGTGGTTTATCTGTTGCCTGTTAATGAAATTGCATAAAAACGATATTCTCCTTGTCAGAGTGTTAAGTATGTACTAAAACTCCATACAAAATTTCAAAAACTTTTAAGAATTTTCAGTGCATTAGCCCGTTGTGAAAACTGCTGTTTCTAACATTAAGATGATACGGTGTATGTACAATGTATGGTATGGCTAGCATAAAAAAGTGCATTAAGGTGACCTCACAGCAATCATATGCGTGATATTTGTGGAAATAGTTGTATTCTTGGTGAGTTTTCGGTCACGGACCTTGCTCCCAGAACCAAAATTTTCAAGTATAAAGCGGGTACCAAATGCTAACCGGTGTTGGCAGTGGATTTCTCTCCTCCCAACCTTCTTGCCATGAAAATGGCACACATATTGACACTTCGACCAAGCAAATCACAATTGCTCGCAGGTGGTACGATGCACTAGCTTTGCACAGATGAAAACCGCATAATTACAATGACGAAATATTTCTCTTTTATAGTGGTTTCAGCTTGCGTGTGTGGATTGATTCACAAATTTTGCGATGAGATGGTCTTTGTTTGTTTTTTGGGGGCGGGGCAAAATTTGAACAGCCCAGGTGTTCTTATTACTACGGAGCTCATGGTTTTGGTGTACATAGATAAAATTATCACTAATAGGAGTCTGAGGAGCTTTGTTTTTCTTGCGTCTAGGTCATGCTTGTTTAACGGCAGCCGAATGTGTCTTTTTGATCCGCCAACATACGATGCACTTTCATTCTTACCTCACATATCAAACGATCTATACAATCCTCAACACCTGACGTCATGCATTTACCTTTTAATCCCGACATGCACGCATTACAAATTCGCTTACCGAATAGGCATACAGGTTGTGAGAAAGGCCACCGAACTTGATTGTGTTTTAAAGTATTTTGGTTCTGCACACTGAACGGACATCATGACTAGGCTTTAAGTCAATCGATTTTATATTTGTACTCAAGCTTCCTCCACATACGGTAGCGGAAGATAGCCATCCACGTTTTCATCTTGATGGTGTTGATGGTAATCTTGCTGATGATGACGATGTTCTTGATGATGATAACGTTCTCTCTGCGGGCCACACCAATCGTAAAATTTGCGAATTAATTCACGTGCGCCTAAATAGACATTTTTTATCCTGGAGAACAATAATTTTGTTCGATGTGGGAAATGCGTGCCATTTCATCACGTGTATGCCGGGGAAACCTGGTGTCAACACTGGCTATCATCTTGTACCCGCTTTATATTTAAACATTTTAAGTAGGTGAGTAAGTTCCATGAACATAAATTCATAAAGATGCAACTTTCTTAACGAATAATACGCATGTGATTATTACAACGATGTCATTTGAATACCATCTTAATATTATGTAGCATTTTCAGATTCTAAGTTAAATGCAACATACGTCCACTTGCCAGTGGGCAGTCTGAGCAGCACCCAGCTCATAAGCGTAGGACGACGCTCATCAAGTAGGCCTTCTAGAAACTTAAACGACTGTTTCACCTCATATATGATGCTTCAGGTGTGGAATTGTCCTAAAGTACACCAGATGATGAATCGCCCTAAACTGCGACCATTTTTTCCTCAAGATTACTGTCAGCGTCAAAATCATGATCCACGTCTGGGGAGTACCTGAGTTGCTTTCACCCAGGGGAATGAAACAGCTGCGTCGTTTTGATTCCTGAAATCTCCCTTCATTGCTCATGCTGAAAATAATAAATGCTTTGCGTATGCAATAAAATGTAAACTTTTGTACATGCAATCGTGCATTACGTAGCGTCATGAAGTCTCATTTACACATCCAAAAACAAATGTTGCCAAGTACTGACAACATTACGCTACTTTGCCAGCATTGTTTTGTTTTCAAAACGCTCAGGGAGGTGCCATAGATCTTTTTTAGATGACACAGCGTTTTAGTTAAAGCGGGGAACATCTCTCCTACGCCGTGAGTGTTCCAGAGTCAGATTCAAATATAACTTTGTGTTACATTGCAAGGAGACCGTGTACTAGTTTTGGTAGCTTGTACCAGACCATAGATATAAACAACTAGATGCAGTCTTCGAGCAGTCATCGAGCCGGCCGCGCGGTTTGATTGCTCGCGTTGGAGGTATTTGGAGTTGGTGGCAAATTATCTTTTGTTGTGTACTTTTCGGTGGTCATATTGCGTGGTAGCATGGCCTCTACAAGACACAGATATACCCAATTGGCCATGGCTTGCTTTTTCGTGTTGTTGCAGCTTAAATGGTGGTGATGGTGCTATTCGGAAGCGCAAATCAACTGGCATGGTTCCCTTTCAACGGAACATTTGTGGCCAGTTTAAGTCGCTGCGCCCCAGGGTCCAGTTTTCTTTTTTAAGTGAAAACCTCTTTAAACTTCTCAACAGGGCTGTCTGAATTTATTATTTAGCTTTATCAGACCTTTGGGCTAAATAAGGCCAAACAAGGTCAAATTCAGGTTGGTTTACGAAGTGCCCCCATAACCTACATACCTGTTTTAAGCAAAAGGTCGCATCCTCATTTAAGGTCAGTGACCTTGCTGAACCTTTCGTAGGTCATGGTGACCAAAAATCACACAACATTGCCTTGAGTTTTCCATTTGAATAAGCGACTAAGATTATGCTACGCAAAATATTTCTAAAAACAAAATGTTGGCCTGGGTCATTTTAGGCCAGTGACCGTTGTAGGCTTCCTCTAAGAAGTCCATGGAAGATGGATAATGTGGTTCCTGACATCAACAAGTTTGAAATGAACACC